CCCGCCTCTCCTGGCCAGCCTGAAGCTCGCCTCCAGACCATCTCGCAGTCTGTTCACTGCATTCACCTTAGTGCAACTTAGATCTTTCCTGCAAAGTAAATGTCGACAGGCAAACTTCATACCCATTCAGATTGAATGTATTTAAATGTATGTATCTAAGGAGAACCGTGCTCTTGCTCTGTTCCTGTTGGGTTCCACACACTGGTTTCTTGCTTTGTTTTCCTTGGCTGATCAGTCTTGTACAAAAGATTATGATCCTATCTAGAGAAGAGAAAGGAATGTTTTTTCCACAAAGTTAAAGCTAAAACCTGCATTTGGGATGGGAGCAGGGCAGGCACTGTGGACAGCGCTGTCTGTGCTCTGAAGTGCCCTGTGAGGGACGACACAGCTGGAGTTGTATCTTGCAAAAGGCTGCCAACCACGGCAGAAGGAGTGTCCAGTTTTTGAGTAGGTGAAAAGGCACCGAAAGTAGGGCTGCTCACATTAGCAAGTATCTGCTCCAATTCTTCCTGTTTGTGAAAACCAAGCTGGTTCCCCTACACCAGGAAGAAAAAGAAATATTTATTTCTAAATTAAGTGTTTTTAGATTGATCAGGTGGTTTAAATTGGCATCTCTCCCTCCTATGACCCTGACCTCTCCCTCCCCTCCCTGCCTTTTCTTGTCCTTCCCACTTCTATTCTCTTAAATAAAAACAACAGCAACAGCCCAAGCTATAGAAACCAGGCTAGCCATTTATCCTGTCAATGTTTCTAGCCACTTGGCATCAGCTTACCATTGAAAATGCATTTCCTGTCAAGGAGAGGAACAAAGTGGAGACAATGTCAGTCAGGCTGAGACACCTGCTTAGGAAGGCCTGGGCTGCTGCATCCACTCTGACCTCCAAAATGAGAGATTACTAATGAAATCGACAGCAGACATCACGACAGATCTGACCTCTGCCATGGGTTTTTTTATTTTGTTTTTTAGCAGTGCTGACAAAGCCGAAGTTTTGTAAGGTACATAAAAATCCAATTTATATGTAAACAAGCAATAATTTAAGTTCAGAACTTACGTGTTTTAATTGTATAATTTTGTGAGGTATACATATTGTGGGATTGACGCAAAAATGAGGTACTTCAGTATTAAATTAGATGTTCATAGCGATGTCTCCTAAAGGTGTTTTTAAAGGCTGCCAATGCCTTGATCAGATCTGATTTGTAGACTTGAGACCTTTTGTTTTCTACCTTTTGAGATTCTGCTCATGAATCATGTATCTAATCTATATGATATGCAGCCGCTGTAGGAACCAAGTCTTGATTTTATATGTTTATATTCTTTCTTAATAAACCTTAGAAAGACTATGCGTTACTAAGCAGCGCACTTTTATGGTTGTTTTTCCTTGCCCACTGTTGGGGGTGGAGGAGGGGTTACATTTGTTAATTGGTGTCAGTTTCAGACAACTGCAGTACCCAGAACTAAGATGATATACATTCTTTCTTATCTAAATTTCAAAATGATACCTTTTTTTGTCTAAAAACAAAGCATTTTATAATATCTCATTAGCCAAGCTTTCTAGGAACAGAGACGTTTTTCCTTGAAATTTGTTTATTCCTGGCAGGGTGAAAAACATATAAACTACCCTATTTATATTTGTATCTCTCTATATATCTACAGATTGTGGAAATATAGAAAGAGATATGACCCAAAGACAAATGGTAAACCATCTGAAAGTGTTGCTCCGTGCTAAAGAATTTTCTGGAAATTTGCATTTTGATATCTCTTTCCACTTTGAGAGGAATCTCAGTGCAGGGAGGTGGCCAAGGAACAGCACTTCCCAGTGGCCACCAGTTCATGTGTCTGCCCAAGGCTCCACTGTTGGCCACCAAACCACTGGGTTGCACAGCTGTGCTGGAAAAAGGGAGCAGATGGAGGCCCAGAACTCTAGGACCACACCCCAATAATGAGGCTCATGTGGTACACTACTGAATGTGACCCATTTTCAGATAAATTTTTAGAAATATGTGAGGTAGGATAACTTTTAACACGGCAGAAGAGAAAATGGAGTTTAAAACAGATTCATTTTGTTTTGAATTTTAAATCCCATTTCACTATAACACCAGCAACAAATCTATCTTTCAATGTTCATCCAATCTACCAGTTTTCTAATGTCCATCCCAACCAGACAAGTGTACAAAGCTAGCAGTCAGAATAACCTGTGATCATGACACAAAGAAGAGAGTGTAAGTTCTCTCTCAGTTCAGAGCAGTGATGCATTTTCTTTTCCATCTAATTAGGAAAATAAAATAAGTGAAGGAGACCTCTGATCATGTTCTCATAGAAGCCAATGCCAAATCAGTTCCTGTCATCAGTATTTCTCATGCTGTACACAATACATTTGTACTTGGTTTTTGTTTAACAGAACACAGGATCAGTGTTTTCTTATATTACTCAATGTGAAAAACATAATGTGAAAAGTATACACACCTTAACTTGGTTGTAAAACCCATTTAAGTGTTCATGTAACGTGGTAAGTTTTAAAAGTGAAGTGAGCTGTGTTACAACAGATTCGTTTGATTCAACGACTCAAACACCCCCTATGTGTATCTCTTACAACCTGTAATAATTGAAAGCAATGGTTTTTTGCAGTTTAAGATGCAATTTTTAATCTGTGTTTTAAAATGGAGTTCATATGGGTGTGACACATGAACTGGGAGGCACAGATCCACTTGCAGAACCCAAAGATACACAATCAATTTTGAAATGCAACTTAAGCCATTAATTGTTGGTGTGAATTTAAAATTTTCTAGTGTTTGTATGGTAGTATGCTGCCTAAGAGCAAAGCACTCTCTGCACAAAAGAAAATTACTGTAGTGGCTTCATTTTAATTAGAATTTTTCTCCCTGGTGTTTCTTTATAGACTAAAACAAAATCTTTTAAGTTTCTTACTACAGGTAAAAGCTATGTGCAAGAACCTCAAAATGCTAAAACCTAGCATAATGCCTTAGATCTGTTTTTAAGTCTTGTATATTCCTACATAGCTGTCCAATGTATTATATTTGTATAGTGAATTGTGTACAATTTTTGAATAAGTGCATCATCACTTACCCTTATGTTATTGAACAGTGATGATGATCCATTTCTTCAAACATTTAACTGTCATTTTTTCTTTGTCATTTGTGGGTTTTATTTGTACAGTTCCTCATGAAGTTGCATCTGAGATATGTGTATATGAAAAGATTATTACAAGGGTAAAATTAAGCAATATATTAACTATGGTTCTTCAGGAGAAAGCTTACAGTGTTTCAGGTTGTGATTTATTTTCAAAGCAGAGTTGACTCTGAACATCACTTTGTTCATCTGCATTAATGTTTGTATTTCTAGTGTGAGCAGTTTATGCAAAGGTAGATATATTCAGAGAAATTTTAAATACATTTATGCAAGTTACTATTGCTTTGCTGATGCTATTTGCTTATTTGATGTTAAATAATGCTATTGTAAATAAAGAATCTGTTGTTACTGCATCATTTAATAAATTTTAATGCCTTCGGGTTTTACATGGCTTTAGAGATTTTTAATGTGGATATAACATTATCTTTTGTAATTTGAATTTAAAAATACCTGAGAACTACTGGCTCAGTGGTTAAAAGCACTGGAGGCTCTTACAGAAGATCCAGGTTTGAAAGTCCTAGCACCCATATGTCATCTCAGAATCATCTATAAATCCATTGCAGGGGATCCAACCCACTCTTCTGGCTTCCACAAGCATCAGGCCCACACACAGTGCACAGATACACATGGAAGCAAAACACCTATAGACATAAGACATAAACTCTACAAAAAGGTTAAAGTCCTTGAGGGGCCAGACAGATGGCTGCTCTTCCAGAGGTCCTGAGTTCAATTCCCAACAACTACATGGTGGCTCACAGCCATCTAAAATGGCATCTATACATTAAAATATCAGTTATTAACATAAGGGCCAGTGTGTAATCTAATAGCCACCACCAAATAGCCTCATCTTTCACTTTAGAGAAATAAACCAATTTGTTGGATCTTTTTAAAATGACAACTGATGCCTGTGGTGGCTGGCATCTTGTTTCGGCAGTGAACTTGTGGTGGTGGCAAACTCTTCTGGTGTGCAGGCAAACATGCAGATAGAACACTATACATAATAAATATTTGTTTTTAAAAGACCTTGTCTTTTAAATTTTTTCTCAGGATTGGGGATTTAGCTCAGTGGTAGAGCGCTTGCTTAGCAAGCACAAGGCCCTGGGTTCAGTCCTCAGCCCTGGAAAAAAAAAAAAAGACAAAATGTTTCTCGTAAGCTGTAGAGATGGCTCAGTGATTAAAAATGCTTATTGGAGCCTGGGTGGTGGTGGTGCACACCTTTAATCCCAGCACTTGGGAGGCAGAGACAGGTGGATTTCTGTGAGTTCGAGGCCATCCTGGTTTACTGAGCAAGTTCCAGGACAGCCTCCAACGCTACAGAGAAATCCTGTCTTGAAAAACAAACAAATAAAAGAATGCTGGGGGTGGGGGAGGGACTGGAGAAGTGGCTCAGTTGTTTAAAAGCACTGACTTCTCTCCCAGAGGACCTAGGTTCAATTCCCAGCACCCACATGATAGCTCACAGCTGTCTGTAACTCCTGTTCCAGGGGATCTGACACTCAAACACAGACATACATGCAGGCAAAACATCGATGTAAATAAAATACAAATAAGTTATTTAAAAAAAAAAAAACAAACTGGGGGCTGGAGAGATGGCTCAGCGGTTAAGAGCACTGACTGCTCTTCCAGAGGTCCTGAGTTCAATTCCCAACAACCACATGGTGGCTCACAACCATCCACTATGAGATCTGGTGCCCTCTTCTGGTGTGCAGATATACATGGAAGCAGAATGTTGTATACATAATAAATAAATAAAATCTTTAAAAAAAAAACTGAGGTCAGTTCCAAGCATCCAGG